CCACGCCCTGTTAATTTTTGTATTTTTAGTAGAGACAGGGTTTCACCGTGTTAGCCAGGATGGTCTCGATCTCCTGACCTTGTGATCCGCCCGCCTCAGCCTCCCAAAGTGCTGATATTACAGGCATGAGCCACCGCGCCCAGCCCAAAGTTTTTTTTTTTAGGAACGGGGTTGCGGGGGGCTCTATTCCCCAGGCTGGTCTCAAAGTCTTGGACTCAAGTGATCCTCCCATCTCAGCCTCCCGAGTAGCCAGACTACAGTCATGCACCACCAAGCCTGATTTGCATTTTGACTTTAAAGAATCTACCATCTCAAAGGGAAAGTTAGACTGAGGTTGGCTGGGTTGTGGCTCACTGGAGTGTGACTTTTCTGTTTTCATAAGGGTGTGTGTTTGCTGGCATGGTTAGATAGGCTGGCCTTAGGAGCTAAAATGCTGGGATTGTGTTCCAGCTCCTGCCTGCCTCTGCTGTGTGATTTTGGATGTATTGCTTCACCTCTCTGTGCCTCAGTTTTCCCATCTGTAAAACGGGTACAATCACATCTCCCTTGTCTCAGACACTGAACACCTGGCACGGGGTGGGAGGCTGGCTGAGAGCCTGATCTCCCGCTGCCTTCACCGGCTCCCTCTCTCCACAGGTGGTACTCGGGCAGGATTTCCCGGCAGCTGGCTGAAGAGATTCTGATGAAGCGGAACCATCTGGGAGCCTTCCTGATCCGGGAGAGTGAGAGCTCCCCAGGGGAGTTCTCCGTCTCTGTGAAGTGAGCTCTGGCCCTTGGGGGTGTGTGCAGAGGAGGGTGGGCAGGGGATGGGCAGCATCTGAGCTGAGCCTTGGGGCCCGGGACGGGCTCACGGAATGAGGGTGGAGGAATGGCATTCCTGCAGAGGGAGCAGCCCGGGCAGAGGCCTGGACACAGGTGATGGTCTGGGCACCCCAGGGTGCAGCCCAGAGCATTGGGGTGTGTCGGGAAAGCAGGCTCAGGCCAGCTGTGGAAGGCCTCAAGTGCCAGGCTGAAGGTCCAGGCTTCTACGAACATAGGAGCCATCATAGGTTCTTCATCAGGAGAGGGCGATGTCCAGGGTGGTGGTGTGGCAAGAGACTGAGGGCAGGAGAGTGCTGAAGTGCCCAGGACGGGTGTCCAGGATGTGCTCCGGACAGGGTCCCACTCTATGTGATCTAGTTGGGAAGATGCATCCTGAGGCCAGGCTGCCTGGGTTGGAATGCTGGTTCTGCCACTTCCTGGCTGTGTGAGCTTGGGCAAGTCATTTACCTTCTCTGTGCCTGTTTCTTCACATGTAAAATAGGCTATTGCATGGAAAAAACAAGTTAGTATATTTAAAGCAATTAGAATAGTTCCTGGCATGGAGGCAGGGTGGCCGTGCTGGGGAACATCTGGTATTGTATTAGGGCGGCCCTCAGCCGTGGTGTGGCAGCCTCTGGGCAGCACAGGACCCAATCCCAAAGGGCCACCCTGGGGTGATCGAGGAATCCAGGCTGGAAGGTAGCAGCAGGAATGGGGGTGGGGGGAGACAGGGTCAGACTCCCGGCTGATCTCTGTCCTTCCCACTGTTAGGCCCTGGTAGCATCTAGATGCTTTAATTCAAGGAATATTTACTGACTACGTGCCATGTGCCAGGATGCTCTAGGGGCTGGGGAAACCACGTGGGAAAAAGCAAAGTTGCTGCTGTCGTGGGTTTCAGTCTTAGTGAGTGAACAAGAAAACATGTAAATACGGAATGAGCCAACGTGGTCAGGAAAGGGCTCTCTGAGGAGGTGGCATCGCAGCAAAGATCTGAACTAGCAGGTGGAGGCTTCCCAGGTGCCCAGGAATGAGGAGGACCTGGGAGGAGAGGCTTCCAGGCAGAGGGATTAGCATTTGTAAAGACCCTGAGGTGGGAATGCGCTTGGGGTGTGCAGGAACCCGGAGGAGGTGACGTGGCTGGAGCAGAGTGAGCGAAGGGCAGGGGCTGGAGTTCCACCCACATCCAGTGATCACGGAGGGCCTGAAAGGAGGTGGGGTTTTCTCTGAGAGCAATAGGGAGCCATGGAGGGTCTCGAGCAGGGGAGAGATGTAATTGGACTCCATTTTTAGCAGATGACTCTGACTGCTGTGAGGAGAAAGAACTGTTGGGGGAAGAGTGTGGTGGCAGGGAGGCCTGTGGGGAGCCAGGAGGGAGATGATGGCCTCTGGGACTGTACGGGTAGGGGCTGAGGGGACACAGAGAAATGACTGGGCCCAGGCGTGGAGGTGTGCGGGGGGACCACCAGCAATACCAGCTCTCAGGGCTGCTGTGGGCACAGAGCCCAGAACGGAGGAGGCGCTTACCGTGCCTGCTCTTACTGCCACCAGCAGAGCTAGCACTGGGGTGGCAAAGAGGCCAGCTGGGAGGAAGGGATGAAGGAAGGGGTGGCCCCAGAGGAGGGCAGCGTGGCCTCTCATGATCTCCTAAAGGATGAAGAAGGCCAGGTGTGGTGGCTCACACCTGTATTCCCAGCACTTCGGGAGGCCAAGGTGGGCAGATCACTTGAGGTCAGGAGTTTGAGACCAGCCTGGCCATCATGCTGAAAACCCATATCTACTAAAAATATAAAAATTAGCCAGGCATGGTGGCGAACACCTGTAATCCCAGCTACTGGGAAGGCTGAGACATGAGTATCATTTGAACCTGGGAGGCAGAGGCTGCCACGAGCCAAGACTGTGCCACTGCACTCCAGCCTGGGTGGTGGAGTAAGACTCTGTTTCTAAAAATAAAAATAAAAATAAAGGACAAAGAAACACAGGCCTGGGTTGACAGCTAACACTGGGGCTGGGTGTGGAGATGCAAGCTTGATGGGGCTTGGGGTCAGGGGATCCGCAAGAAGCAGACAAAGGCAGACTTCAGACAGGCTGGGCCATGAGGCCCCATGAGGGCTCCTGCTGGGGGAAAAGCATCCCCACCTGATGCTTTCCAGGCTCTGCCGGGTCCCTGTGGCTCCCATGTGTTCAGCCAGTCCGTTTCGAAACAAGCTCAAGCTGTTCACTGTGTGGGATCAGCACATCTGCTGCTAGCCCTGCAGGGTGGCAAGCTCCCTTGGGCCTGGAGGAACCTGCAAGGGGTAGAAGCCTATGGTCAGGAAGGTGGCTCCAGGGGTGTGTTCGTCCCTTTATTGTTGGGATAAAGGAACACGTGAGGCTGGGTAGTTTATAAAGAAAAGGCGTTTATTTGACTTGGTGTTCTGCAGGCTGTATAGGAAGCATGGCATTGGCATGTGACTCTGGTGAGGCCTCAGGAAGCTTTTATGCATGGCGCGTCACATGGCGAGATGGGGGCAAGTCGGGGAGGGAGGTGCCAGGCTCTTTTCAACAACCAGACCTCATTCATTACTGCAAAGAGCCACTGATGAGGGTCTGTCCCATGACCCAACACCCCCCACCAGGCCCCACTTCTAACACTGGGTGTCACATTTCAAGGTGAGATTTGGAGGGGACAAATCAGGGAGGCAGATCCTACGTGTTACGGTGTTACGGGTCACAGGCCCCGCACCCTGAGCCCGGGCCCCCAATTTGTGGAACCAGCCATCAGCCTTGTTCCCTTCCCTTTTCTCCTGGGGGCAGGCTGGTGATCCTGAGGGGCAGGAAGGGCACATGCCCCCTTTGAGCCTCTATTTCCCCATCTTAAAAATGCGAGTGCTATCAGCGTGTGTGTGTGTGTGTGTGTGTGTGTGTGTGTGTGTGTGTGTGTGTTGGGGGGTTACTGTGCGTACGTGGCCCTGACTGCCCAGCCCCGCGATGGTGTGGGCACCTGGAGCCTAGAGTCCCCGCGGGCTCACCTCCCAGCCCCCAGCCCAGCCCCCACTTCCCTGCAGCCCCGGGGAGCTGCGGCTCCTACAGAGGCAGGACGTGGCAGTCTTCCAAGTGTCGGCTGTCCAGGGTCTGGTCATCTCCTGGGAGTGGCGTCCGCCAGGCGGGCTGGCCTGGCTGAGTGGCTCCTGGAACCAACCCCAAAGCCCAAGGTCACCCAGCAAAGTGGGAGCACAGGGGACTCAAACTACGTCTGGAGCCCGAGTTGAGGGGGAGGGGCTGGCCCTTCCTCCGCTCTCCCTCCGCCCTCCGCTTCCTCCTCTAGCAAATCACGCGGCCTCACCCTCCAAGTTAGCGCCCCAGTGTGCTGCCCTCTTCAGGCGTCTCTCTGTAAGTGCAGCCACCTGCGCACACGCACATGATCAGACCTGAACACTCCAGCCTTGTGAGTTTGTTCAGTACGCATTTACTGAGCATCAGCAGTGTGAGAACCACAAGGCAGGACTGGAACAGAAGACAAACCAGAGGCATGTGAAGGGGAAATGGTCACAGCCTGGCCCAGGGGTCTCTATGATGAGCAAATGAATAAATGAAATTCAATGACAGTGGGTACATTCCACATAGTGTAGGCACCAGGGAGGAAGTGACATCTGAGTTGGGCTCTAAAGCATGAGTAGGAGTTTGGTGTACAAGGAGAGTAGATGATATGCCAGGCACAGGAAACAGCGTGAGCAGAGATCTGGAGGTGGGGAAATGAGGGGTGTGTTTGCATAGCACGTGTTTTCTGACCAGGTGGGAAGATGAACAGTTTTAGGGAGTTCTTGAGCAGGCGAGCTAGCACCGGTGTTTCCTGGGAAGGGATCTGGAAGCGACCCTCAGAGAAATCCTGGCGTGTGCCCCCCAACCCTTTCTCCAAGGCACACTGGCCAAGTGTGCCCAGGTCAAAACTGTCAGGGGCTTCCTGGGCTTGGCTGGCTGTGGTTTGCACACAGCACCAACAGGTGGCGCCCTTGACCCTTGGTTTCTTCCTGACTGGGCCCAGGCTCCTGGGTCCTGCTCCCACTGTCCATCATCTGTCATGGGGCCTCTCAGTGGTCCTTGGACAACCACCAAGCAGGGGTCAGAGTTGGAAGCTGAGGCTTAAATGGGGCATGTGGCTAAGAGCATGGTATTTTGAGCAACAGTCAGCTCTGACACCTGCTGGCTTCTCGCTGTATAATCCTGGGCAAGTTACCCCACTGAGCCTCAGTTTCCTCATTTATAAAATGGACAGCTATGTAACATGTTTTGTATGATGACTGGCACATGATAAGTGCCAGTTATCATAATTATATTAAGCCCTCAAGGACTGCACACCAAGCTGGGGAGGAATTAGGCAGGCCCTTCTGGCCTGGAAGACTGCCCCCCACCCCCTGCCCATGAATCCAACACTCTTAGAGAAGAGGCAGCAGCACAGGGAGGCAGGGAACCCAGATGCAGGGAAACTGGGTGACCCAATGGCCATCTAGGAAAATGACAACCTGGCAGATTTGTGTGTAAGAGCTCTTCCGCCCTTGCTGGTTGGTGCTTGTGAACTCTGATGCCACTATGTATGGCATCTCTGGCATACTAACACCAAGCCCCGTAAAGCTGTCAGAGGTGGGGTTTATGGGCCTCATGCTGCCTCCCAGAGCAACCGTGGCCACGGCTAGCTGCCCTTTACGAGTTTACAAAGGGCTGTCCCCCTCCTCCTCCGGGGAGCATGTCTGAGCTGGCGGGCGGCGGGCCAGGGGCCAAGGCTGGCGTGCAATGTCTGGGCTGCCTACCTTTTGCCCCACACTCCTATCCAAGTTACTGTGGACTCTTCTGCCGTAAATGACAGTTTGTCTCCAAGTGACATATTTGCCTCCTTTCTAGCCAGAGGTACCCTGGAGTCAATGCACATGTGTTTGCCCTGCCCATCTGGTCACTGAGCCCCTGCTGTGTGCCAGCCCTGTCCC